GTTTAAGCAGGCAGCTAATTCATTTCTGTTTTCAATTTTATTGATTGAAACGAGTGGTTGGGGCAAAATACCCCAAGTCACGTTGTACAGGACTGGGTTGAGATTCGTAGTAGACACCAGACCAAAATTTTAGTCCCTATGATATCTAGCTGAGATTATGCCAAAAATAAAAATAGTCTTGTTTCCTGCCACCCGACCAACCCTATTTTTTTTTGCAACCGACCCTAAAGTTTTTTTTTAAGTTTTGGAGAAGAAAATCAGGAATTTTTGGAATTTCATGTTCCAAAACTGAAAATATATATTCAATTAGTATTTCATAAAATTATCTGTTTTAAATATGGACTTTCATAAAATACCACTTGAGTTGAGCATCAAAAGACATGAAATTTAATTTTAAAAGGCAATATTGACCTATATGGCATGTTTAATTTGATCTATCCAAACAAACAGTCAGAAAAAATAAAATAAAAAAGAAAAATAAAATTATTTCCCTACCTACCTACCCTTTTTTTTCAGGCTGGTAGCAGGAAACGAGACTATTATTTTTCTTTTTTTTTTGGCCTTAGTACTGGACCTGCTGCAAGTTAACTAGTTTCTCAAGAATTATTTTTTATTTTTTCAGCAACTAGCAGCATTGTTCATAAATCTGAAGAAACTAATTCATCGAGTTATTTTAAGCATCAGTAGCATAGCATTTCACCAAGAATTATTCAACTTAGTAACAATGCTTGAGTAACTGTAAGTGAATACACAAATTCGGTTCTGTAGTTGTACAGTAGGGTTATGGTGATGACAGTCATGTTCCAATTTCCATGCAATTCTATATTCAGTTTATAAGCGAGAAACTAGGGACTATGTATGTCAAGTTGTATAGCCCAATTAAAAAATAAGGGGATAAAATGTAAATAAAATTAGGATAATTGGTAAAAACACCAGAATTAATCGAATTTTATTCAGCACGTGTAATGCACAGACCTAAACTATGGCTGACCGGAAATGAAAAGAAAGCTGTAAGGCGCATGCGTAAACATTTGATTAGCGTGTTCCTTGAATGTTTCTTGTTTTCTTTGTAGGCGTGATACTCGTAATTCTCCACATCACAAATGTTTTTAATCCATAAAATCAGCTTATAGAAAATGGAATGTCACAGATAGTAGACTACAGAAAGAATCAATTAGCCGATTAGACTTCAGGGGCGTACCTAGCAAGTTAGCAACAGGGGGGCCACTTTTAGTGATGTATCGAAAATGTAGTATTAGAATTGGTACTGAAAGTAGTTGACACTGAGAAAAAGGGGGGGGGGGGGGCGAACGGGATCATACAGAGTTTTCATTTTATTGAGAAAAAGTCAAAATCTTCTTCAGATATCTCCCGAAAACAAAAGTTTAACAGACGGACAAAATGTATGGATTTACGACCTTGACCCTTGACCTCAAAATTAATAGGGGTCTTTCTTAGGCCGTAGGGAGTTGTGGTATAAAATTTCATTGTACAAGCTACCGGTATTTTAAGGCTTCTCGAGATATCTTTAAAGTGTTATTTTAAAACAGACAGAATTTAAATTATGAATAAATCAGGAATCTATTACCTTGATCATGACCTTTGACCATCTGACCTCAAAATGAAATATATACATTTGTGGTATCTTTCCACTATATAAACATACAGAGAGAAAATATCTTCAATTCTGTATGAAGTTTGTCAGAGGTCAGAGGTCAATACGTGACCTAATCACACGGCGCAATGATATCTACCAGTACATAAATTATAAAATGACCTGCTCTACTTGCTTTTCATGAATAAAAATGAACAAAATAAGCAAGTAAAATAATATTTATTTTATTTAAAATGTAAACAAGTATTTCATACAGTTTTTGGGCTACCGATTCAACCTGTGTACAAAGAGAAAACTGGGAGTGAGTGGGAGTCTATAGCTAGCGTTTGTTTACATTTTTCTTCACTTTATCAGCTGCACAGTCTCTAACGTTCATCCTTATTTTGGGGGTCCACATTTGGTTAAATTTTCATGATAAACTTTTACTTTATCTTTAAATTTTACTCACGTAAATGTGTTGAAAAATATCATTGCAATCATGCCATGAACAGCTGCCAAACACCTCGGCGTTTTCGTAGTTCAATGTAAAGCTAGCTGTCGCCAGTGTCTCCATGTTTTACGATAAGTATGCCTTTAGTTACTGAAACCGTAGGACATTTTTGATCAAATTGCAAATAATTAACACAAGTGTTACCGCCATGGACAAGTGTCTCAATCCATCGGATCCATCTATCCCTTTCCGGCGACCGAAATTCCTCCAACTTTTTATCATCAAACTTCGGACGTGTTTCTTGTGTCTTTTCAGCATCGATTATCATTTTTCAAGAATAAAAATATTCCCAAACAACAATCTGTTCACTATTACTGATCACAAGTAGACTTTCACAAAATATTCCCTTCGAAATAGAATCCTTAGCCTAATGCATTCGAAGCGTAACCGCCATGCAAGCAATCGGAGTTCCTCGGATGACTCGTACCTCGCACATAACTGTGTTTGAATGGAGCGTAGCGGAGTCAGCCGAGGATTGCCGAGGAGGGATTTATAATGATTATGAAAGCTCATATGAACAACTATTGGAAAGATCCAAATTGCCCTCCCTAAAAACCAGAAGAATGAGATTACTGGCATTAGAAACATTTAAAATCATTAATAAAAAGAGCCCACTCTTTCTTCAAGATCTGGTCACAGTTAAAGAAAACTCATATAATTTTAGGTATTCTAAAGCCGCAGATATTCCCAGACCCAAAACTACAAGGTATGGAAAAGGTTCTTTCAGGTATGAGGCAGCAAGGACATGGAATACCCTTCCCAATGATATCCGAAATACCACATCATTTAATTCATTCAAGAACTACATATCTACCTGGTGTGGATATTAAAAGTTTGTAAATACCAGTCCATGCTGCCTGTGTCTGAGAAGCCTTCCTAAATGTTCTTTTGCAATCATTTGAACTTTCTGTATGTACGCTTTTTTTTTCTCTTCTGTTATTGTTATTATGTTCTGTGATGTCCTTATGTGTGCAAAGCATATGAATAGTTGCATGCTTTCTATGTTGCTTTCCTTGTTGTTCAACTTTCATTTCTTTCAGTGTTTGTAAATGTTATGTACTGTACTGCGCTTTATGGGTTCATACTTTTAACAGTCATATTTTATTTATTCCTCTCAATTATTATTTTAATCAGCATGATCAGTGCTTATTAGGACTGTGATATCCATTCGTGTGCAAGACAATGTATGCTGCTTCTTTTTTTTTTTTTAGTTTATTCTTTGTAAAAGGTGCTAGTATATGTGATTTTTGTTATCTTTAGCCTTAAAGTGTCATTTTAAATGGCTTCATTTAAATTATCTTTTGTTTTACTAACAATGTATATTTTTACTAATTTTATCTATGTGTAAATATGTTAAAGTCGGTTAAAGAGCTCACCACAGCTCATGTTATTTCTGTTGAATTGTATATATGTGCCGACTATAAATAAAAATTACTTGACTTGACTTGCCTGTGATAAATCTAAAAGCTAGTAAGGTATTGCCGATCCGGAGATTTCTTAACTGTCCGGATTTATTCTAGCAGTTACATTCATTCAACATGGAGGACATAATACGGTCGAGATGAAAATAAGATTTTGAAATAATATTTATTCAACTAAATCGAGATGGTTAGTACTTTTTATGTGTAATTTATCAAGCTTCAAGTATTTCCACTAGTTTTTCAACGCTATATATTATGCTCCTTTTTGAATTTACAGATGAATATCTTAGTCATATATTGCGTATGTAAATATTTGAAGAAAAATCAACATGAATTTATGGGTGTCTTTCCGCTTTACGAAGTCTATCTGTGTTAAGCACAGTTTATCATATGTTAAAATAACTTTTCCGTACATGGAATGGAGCATAGTGTTATATTATGAATTTGTATTTTCAGATGACATTTACTTTTCTGTTTTCAATACGACAATATTGCTTTAGACAGATCCTATGGGTTGTATTTAGAAGAGTAAAGATATGCATTAAATGGCATCTGCTCCATGTGCTTATTAACATTACTTATTCTTGAAAAAAATGAAAAGAATAATCTGATTGTTTCTTGTAACTAATTAGATTAAAGTAAGTTTCCAACTGTGTCTTGGGACAAGCCCTCACCACAGTCCATAAAGCAAATCAGAGCGAATGTGCTCGGAAATGATTTTGAAGAATAGGATAGGGGTTGCACTGAAAATAACTACCAAATCAATTTAAAACAAATTTATCCCCAAAAATGTTCCATATAGTAAAAAATTTAATTAATTTTATGATATCAATTTATTTTTAGCTTCAAATTTATATGTCATGTTTACATTCTGATTTTTTTTGTCGTAAATGCACTGAATTAAAGTTTTTGCTTGCATTTAATTTACTACTTATTCAATACATAGATCAAATTCTATTGTGAAATAGGGTCCGTAAGACTTTATTTTACAAATGATCATGATGATAGAATGTTCTGTTTAGAATGTATCCCACATAGATGCAAAGTAGACTGGATCTGCTCCAGCACAATTTTGGAGAATACAAAAAAAGACATTCTGAAAATAACCCCCAAATTAATTTTAGCAAACCTTTTGAGCTATAAGTTTCTTCACTCCCCAAAAATAATCCATACAAACAAAAAATTAAAACTTTTCATTTTGGTTTAAATTTGCCTGCCATCATAGTGCCATGTTAATATTTAGAACTCTGAATTGTTCATAGTGTACACATATGAATGATCTCTTTTTGAGGAATACCCAGGCAAAGTGTGATTTACAGTTACTATCACATAGGAACATGTAATTGTTTCTTTGGATTTCAAAGTACATTGTTATTTAATTCAAAAATGTGTTTACATATATGGGTAATGTTAATGAAAAAGGAAACTATTTTTGAAATTTCACTGAGATTGTTTGATTATGTTTTTGTTTCAGGGTAACAATGCTTCCCAACTAGAAAAAGAGATAGGCTCAGAGCAGCTTCCTGCAAATGAACATTATTTTGGGCTTGTTAATGTAAGTATTGGGAAAGTGCTCAGTACAGTAACAAATATTAGTTATTACTCTAATTCGAGTAATCTGCTAGAGGTTGTACATGTAGTAGGAGTGAAACGGTTCACCGCGGTATCGGTTCACCGCTGTATTTTTTCTCGGTTCGATACACGGTACAAAATCTCTACTTTCGGTTCGGTTCGTTTTTCGGTCGGGATCGTCATTCAGTCGGGTTTGGCATAAGGTTTAAACATGCTTCCCTGTATAATTAGTTCAAGGACGTAAATTTTTGTGGACTTAAGTTTGTAAAATAATTTTTATCAGTCAAATCGATTAAATTGATTTATTCTATCCACTTTGCACATAAATTAATTGACTAGATTAAGTAAAAGGAAGCATAAAACAACAGTTAACTTTGTTTCAAAACAGTTGACTATGTTTCCTTCTATCAAATATATCGTATCGAAAATAACCGAACCGAGACCAAATTTTACGATACGTATTGAACCGCGAAGGAGGCGTATCGTTTCACCCCTAACATGTAGTATTATAAACCATGGGTCTTTAAATCATTTACAAAAATGTTGAGGTGTTAAAACAAAAATAAAGGTATGGAACTCTTTCCACAGGGTACCTTCTTTAGCCAATAAAATTTTTTCTGAAATTCCAAATACCAGAATACTTCCTGATATATATTCTGAAACCGTGCAATTCCAAAAATGACCTTTTTACTTGACATCAGCTTGAGCCTTTGAAGAAATATGCTAATTGTTAAATACAAATGACTGGGTGATTTTTCATGCCCCAAAGGCCGAAGCAAATTTCAAGTAAAAAATGTAGGTCAATTTCGAAATTGATTTCAGAATATCTCTGGGATGTACTTGGAATTTCGGAATTTTTAATTAGTAATGAGAAATGAAGATTGTTTATACATGTATACAAATAGATTTATATAGCATGTATAGAAAATAAACTTTTAAAGCATTTGATTTTAAAGTATTTTATTAGCAAAAATGGGTACCAAATTTTAAGGAGTTCCATACCTATATCTTTTATATATATCCCAATTTTTCTTTAAGTTGGATTTAAGCAATCCAAAGGCCTGTGTTATAAAAAAAGGATATTTATTTCCAATCTTTTTAAATATTTTTATAATGAAAATGTAGATTAAGACCTGAAAAGAGCTGATGATACAGTTTTGGTGTACATATATTTTTCTTGCTTTTTAGTTTGGGAACACTTGTTACTGTAACTCCGTTCTACAAGCCCTCTATTTCTGTCGACCGTTCCGAGAGAGAGTTCTTCAGTTCAAGCAGCACCAGAAAAATAACAAAAAGGAATCACTACTGACCTGCTTAGCAGATCTGTTCTACAGCATAGCCACACAAAAGAAAAAAGTGGGCACAATCGCTCCAAAGAAGTTCATCACTCGACTGAGAAAAGAGTATGGTAAGTAAACATGCTGTTAAATGATGGAAGATGATTTTTTGAAATTTTAATTTCCAAAAAGAAAAATAAGATTATTAATACCATTTTAATTTTAAAGTTCTACTCTGTGCAACCAAAGATTTACTGATTTATTCTCCCCCGGAGGCCATACGAGGCTGTTTTAATGTCAAGAAACAAATTTAAAAACATTTCAGCAGATGTCATTCAGAAGAAAGTGATTAAGAAATACAAATTTATTATAAAATCTTACAATTAATACCATACATATTAATGATACACTGTATTTATTCAATTTTTAAATTTGTATAATGCCCTTCTTTTTTTTCTCCAGAGCTCTTTGACAATTTCATGCAGCAGGATGCTCATGAGTTTCTGAATTACTTGCTAAACAGAGTGTCTGAGCTTCTTCAAGGTGAGTGCACAGTCTGTAAACAAGAAGAAATTAGAAAAAAAAATTTTTTACATCTGTAATTGTATACATTGTACATTCACAGTCAAACTTTGTTATCTCTAACTTCAGAGAAGAAACAAAATAGAGATAGTTTTATTGCGTTATTTCTATTTATAGCAGAAAAACAAGGAAATAAAGGTAAAGCTAACGGAGCAGAAAATCAGAATAAGACGGAACCCACGTGGGTAGAAGAGTTATTCCAGGGCACCTTTACCAATGAAACACGATGTCTCAATTGTGAAACAGTAAGCATGTCGATGATTAATGATAAGGGTACTGTAAACCAACTTTTATTCACGTGCGAGAAATTTATGCAATATTTGAGAGAGCCTCTTCATCGTGAATATTTCTTGTCGCGAACTGGTCCTAAAAGTCTGTGTGTCTATTATCAAAAGATCCAAAAAAGGCTTGATCGAAAAAATTTATTGTAGCGAACTACTTTACAGTGGTAGATCGCGAATTAAAGTCACGAATAAAAGTTGGTTTACAGTATTATAAATGGTTGATGGCCATCTTTGAAATGTTGTCAGCTTTTACCTAGAACTATACAAGTATAGGTGTTAAAATGTATTGATTATTTACTAGAATTCAAAATCAGTCACTGAATTAATATAAAGAGGTGTTGTTGATGTTTAGGTGAGCAGTAAGGATGAGGATTTTCTGGATCTGTCAGTGGACGTAGAACAGAACACTAGTATAACTCACTGTCTGAGAGGCTTCAGCAGTATGGAGACGCTAAGTGCTGAGCACAAGTATTACTGTGAAGTGTGCTGTAGCAAGCAGGAGGCACAGAAAAGGTGAGCACAAGTATTACTGTAGCAAACAGGAAGCACAGAAAAGGTGAGCACAAGTATTAATGTGAAGTGTGCTGTAGCAAACAGGAAGCACAGAAAAGGTGAGCACAAGTATTACTGAGAAGTGTGCTGTAGCAAACAGGAAGCACAGATAAGGTAAGCACAAATATGACTGTGAAGTGTGTTGTAGTTAGGAAGCACAGAAAAAGGTGAGCATAAGTATTACTGTTAAGTGTGCTATAGCCAACAAGAGAGACAGAAAAAGTGGGCATTATATTTGTATAATGAAACTACATGTACATACATTACACCTCTTGATTGGAATATCTGAGATATTCTGATATTTTATAAGGATTATTTTGATGAAATATTTATCCCAGGAACTGTACATTGATAATTTTAATACATGTACTTAGCACAGGTTTGAATGTGTACACTCACAATCTTATCTAATTCTTTTTTAACAGAATGAGAGTGAAGAAACTTCCACAGATTTTAGCCCTGCATTTAAAACGATTTAAATATATGGAACAGATGAACAGATTTACCAAGCTCTCCTACCGAGTTGTCTTTCCTCTGGAACTTCGACTGTTCAATACGGTAAATTAAAGAGTTTAGAGTAATACATGTAGATTTATAATAATGTAATACAGTGTATATTCTATTTTCCCCTCTATCTGAAGTTTTTAAGGATACATATTTAAATCAATCCTTCTCCGATGTAGTCTGTGAGGGTTATCTTTGACTGTCCCGTTTGTTTTTGTTTTTTTTTGACTGTCTCGTTTGTTTGTTTTTTTTACTGTCCTGTTTGTTTTTTCAGTCTGACGATGCCTGTAATCCAGACCGAATGTATGACCTTGTTGCCGTGGTGATACACATAGGAAGTAGTCTCAATCGGGGCCATTACATCAGCATCGTCAAAAGTGATGGGTTCTGGTTGCTGTTTGACGATGATATAGTGGATGTATGTTTTTATTTTATTTTTAAATAAATGTTTTATATCAGGTAAAAGGTTTGTAAAGTTTTACATAACTGTTTACATACAATGTATCTAAAAAGAATTAAGTTCTTTTGTCTGTTTGATTCTCAACTTTATTTGTATAGTTGTATATTTTTTATTGTATTTTAATTTTATTTATGTATGCCTACATGATTTCAAAGGTAATGAAAGAGAAATGGCTTGCAAACAATGGCAGTTTACTGGATAATTTTGAAAGAAATGGTTTACATTTTGTAGAAAATCGATTCCAGTACAATAGAAGATTTCTATGGAATCCCATCAGACTTGCAGAAGAATTCCGAGACAGGCTACATACTGTTTTATCAGTCGAGAGAGTAGACAACATCTCCATATTGTACAGAACCTCCAGGCCTGCTCCACTGGCAATCAGCTGTTTTTATTCCTTGTATATTACAAGGAGAATTCTATCACTACAGAGATGTGGTATTTGTGACCAGAGGTATTTGTTGTTGTTTCTTTCTTTGTCTGATGGATGTGCTTAACGGGTCACATTGTTATGAAAATTTACTTCATTTCTCCATGTGATATTGTTGTATTCACGTTCATTGATCAGTGGTATTCCGATAAAGGTTTACCATAGAGTTATAAATGGTTTTCCATGATAAAGGACATGCCATATTGAATGTGTATGGTGTGATATTTTGCTTTATTTGACCTCATTTATTGATCATGCCAGGGATGAGAATGTAATGATAGTCATAATTTAAAACCAACATTATTTAATCTTCAACATTTTTTAATTTGCTGTCAAGATATTGTTTCATATTGGATATAGGTATGATGAATAATTGATGATGCTCTGATGAATTCTTAATGGAAAAGTTAGATGCTGGTGAACATTTACTCTAATAGTGCAATGTTAGCATTTAACCACTGTTTTATTATGATATTTTAAATCATTCCTCATATTTACATACAGATATTTTATACATATTACTTGTATGTACATTAAACATTTATTCTAAAATAATTATTTTATACTGAAAAAGTACTGAAGTATACAAGATCATTTTTATGATGATTGTGAAAAAGCAGTTTTTTAAATCAAATTTTCAATTAAAGATGAGGAAAATACATTTTTTTTTTTTTTTTTTTTTTTACAAAACTTCATTATTTTTGGACAGACATTATTATTACTCTACTTGACAGGCTGAGATCTACAAAGAATCCTTTGAAAGGAGTAAGATAAATAGATCTAAATTCATATCATTTTTTTCTATAAAAGTTAGTGCTAATGAAATATGGTACACTAAGATAAATTGTATTTTACACTAAGGTTTTAAGCCTCTTACTTTTGTTGTATGCTTATTTAATATACATAGAAATAATAATTATCCCTTTTGTTTACAAACATGCCATTAGTATTGATACTGTGAAATGATTATTTATGTACCTTGGGAAATTAAATGATGTAGTTGCTGAAGTGATTGTAAATTGATCCTTGTAATGTACAGCGAAGTTGAAGTGATTGTAAATTGATCCCTGTAATGAACTGCTCTATTGTAATGCTGTGTCACCAACTGCTTCTCTGTTTAAGGGAATCTTTTGTATTAATCATGTGTTGATTTTATTGTACATGTAGTGTTTTCATCATTCCTGAGTGAAGCGTTTGGTCCTTCACTTAGATATATACATGTAGATAGTTTAAGATGTCAGGTGTGTCTGACACAGTAACACTTATGTGGGTCGATCTTTCTATTACTACAGATCTTTCACTTATAACCAATTTAAGGTAACAGGTTTACGTTTAGTGGCTTAGTCTTCATAGTGGGTTTATCTTTCCCATGATAAAATTCTGTACAAAAGAATGTCTGTGCATTAATCATTGGTAGATTTACTTTTATACTCAAGGTATGTTTTCTGATAAATCATTTTCTAAGTAGATCTTGTTTAAAGAAGAGCAAACTATACAAAAGTTACATAAATTTGCATATTTCACATATACATGTAGCAGATTATCAGTTTTTGCTTCTTTCAATGTGTATAATATTTTACTAGTTGTTTAGTATCCTCCAAGTGAAAACAAAAATAAGATCAGTGCTATGTAAACCATATTTTAAGTTCCATTTTTAGTATGGATGAGGAAGATTTCATCCTTGTGAAGGGTAACAAGAAATTGATAGGAAAAGTATTGCATCAATTCATATTACATGTATATGTTGTGGTCCCAGCATTGCTAATTTTACTGTAGAGTTTGTGATACTGTCCAGTTTGTGATATTACATCGGACACTCTCTTCTTACATTGTACATATTAACACTGTGGAATATTCCAATTATGTTGTACAAAATGTAGATATTTTCTGTGTACAAACATGAGATGTATATTTGATAACCAAGATAAAAATTTGTTTTAAAATTTTAGTGTACTTTTTTTTTATTTCAAAAAAATTCTTCTTTGGTAATGCAGTTACATTATTAATTCAACAAAATTATGATGTAATTATTTTACCTAATACATGATTTCTAACATGAACACATTTACATGTTACAGAATGACAAAGAAACCTGAACTTCACTATTCAAGATTATTTTTTATCAAACTTAATATAATGATATACTGACAGTACAGATAATAACACCTACAACAATAGGAAAAAAATCTGACCTCTTTAATAAATTATGTTTTGTTTTTTTTTTTACATGTATCTTCCATGTAAAATATGGGGGTAACATTTGTAATTGATGAGCTGACAAACTCAATTACTATGATCTATTACTAAGGCTGGGAGGACAGGCAGACAGACAAGGTGATTCCTAAATATTATACCTCTCTCATATATTCAGACACCTTCCATGTAACAAGAGGCCCAAGGGCAACATCGCTCACCTGAACACTGGCTAGGAAAAAAAAACTGATCAACCATTGTGGTCCCACCCTACCCCTGGAGGTCATGATTTGAACAATCTTGAATACACCACCTGAGGATGCTTCAATATAAAAAAAAGATGAATCATAGCTTTGCTGTTCTTGAGAAGAGCATTTTTCTATAGGCCTATATTATACCTCCATATAATTATGACCAATCATGGTTTTGCTGTCCTTGAAACAAAGGTTTTAAAGATTTTCCCTATACATACCTATGTAAAACTTTGACCATCCATTGTGGCCCCACCCTACCCCCAGGGGTCAAGATTAGAACAAACCTGAATCTACACACCTGAGGATGCTTCCACATGAGTTTCATCTTTCTTGGCCCAGTGGTTCTTGAGAAGAGTTTTTAAAAATGCCATTGATTTTTCAATAATTCATAATTATTTTCTCTTAGAAGAGGATGTGGCCCTTCATTTGAAAAAAACCTGATTCTAAACTACCTGAGGATGCTTCCACATGAGTTTCATCTTTCTTGGCCCAGTGGTTCTTGAGAAGAGTTTTTAAAAATGCCATTGATTTTTCAATAATTCATAATTATTTCCCCTTAGAAGAGGATGTGGCCCTTCATTTGAAAAAAACTTGAATCTTCTTCACCCAAGGATACTTTGTGGCATGTTTTGTTAAAATTGGCCCAGTGGTTTTTGAGAAGAAGATGAAAATGTTAAAAGTTTACAACAAAGCCAACAATGACAGACAAATTTTGATCAGAAAAGCCCACTTGAGCCTTGAATTATTTTCATTTGACAATAGATGACAATGGGGAAACACTGACAAAATAACAAAAGTTTCTTAAAACCAAACAAATCTTTAGAGGGGGTGGGTATGGGTTAAAGTTTTTTAATGTTTTCCATATCTGATAAATCCATGACTTTGATACATGTACTTGTACAATTACAACATGTAAAACTAAAAAAATCTTGAGAAGGTGAGTAGAAACATTATTTCAGTGTCATACATGGTCCCCCAATTTTTGTTGGTGGTGGTGGCCTGGGTTTGGAATGGGGGAAGAGTCCCACTACTCAACATTGCACTTAACAAGCTGTAAATAAAATTTATACAAATACTTATTTGACTGCATGATTACTTGAAATGCTGTGGATTTGTTTTCGTACAAGTTCAGAATTGTGATGTTCTCAAATCTGCTCTTTGTCAAACAGTATGGTATCTCATTATCGCACACAGTGAGAACAGCAAAATGGAATGTGATATTGACATCTGAGAGAATATTTTTCACCACATTTAGAGCATGTCCCATGGCATCTCCCTTATGACTAGCTCCTGTTGCAACCTGTATAAGATACAGGATGGAATCTTCTTTTGTTTTTGGCATCTTTGCAGAGGAACAAGCAACATCCATTCTGACTTTTTCATACACAAAGTAATCGATATCCATAAAATTGTAAACCTTGGGGTATACAACGAAAGAGTCGTGTGATGGTATAAGGTTTTTCTTCATATACAAGGCAAACAATGCAACATTCCTTTCCACACCCTTCAGACCATCGGGTATGTCTTTTTCATGTAAATCGACGAGTACCTCAGTCTCAGGCATGAAAAAATGTTCAGGTGGAATGTTGACAAGATGCCATCCAGTTGTTGGTTGCACAGGACATCGCGCATTTGAAGGCTCATATACAGTTTTCGCAACATAGCAAGGTTTGGGGACAAGAGCAATTCCATGGTTCTTTTGGACTAGTAAAAGAAGTTTTTCGAACTCTTTTCTTGCCCCACCAGCCTGAAACATGATGGGAAAAATTTCATCATCTGCCAAGTCATCTACAAGTACTTCAAATTTGTATGGAAATTTCCTTTTCCAATCACCAGCCAGAAATGGTTGCAGATGCCAGACCTTCAAACACGAGTCTCCTTCATCAAGACCATGCAAGCTTAGAAAGTTCTGCATATTTGTCCATGTCATCTTTGGTTACATTGCAATATTCTGTTTCAAATATATTTACTGCAATCATGACTTTTCTAGCCTGCTCTGTTGTAAAGATGTAAGGGCCATCATCTGGAATATGTTCTAGAAGAAGTGTAGTGTGAAGAATTAGTTTGGCATAGGTTTTATTTTCTCCACATCCCTTAAATCCAGCAATCTCTGCCTGTTTGATCTTTATGTATTGCCACAAAACTTGTTTCACTTTTTTATCAAGGCTGCGATAGCTATACATATAGTCCAACACCTCATGAAGCAATCTAGGCGACATTATAAACAATTTCGAAAATTCCTCATAGACTTCTTTTCCTTTCTGGGCAAGCCTTTGTTCTTGACATCCCTTCATTTTCAAAGTACCATTCCATATTGTCAAAAAAGAATCCTCATCAAGTTGTAATTCCCTTCCACAATCAATGGATCCTGTATGTGCACTGGAAGTAAACCCTGTTTCAATCACAATAAATCTTGAAACCTTTTGTTTTACAATTTTATAAACTTTCTCTCGATAATGGTCATTGAAAATTGTAACATGATCTATCACAAGGCAGCTGTTTTCTGGAATTTTTTCAGAAAAGGATGTAAACTTCTCCAAATTTTCATCACATTTCTCAATGTGTTGCAGGTCAATGTAATGAATATTAGCATCATTATTTCTCCTACATTCCAGGACATAGTACAGAGCAGATGACGATTTCCCAAGGCCTTGAATACCATACACATAATTCCATTCATTTTGAGAGTCTCTTTGACCATCAATAATACTCATAAAAGCATAATGAAACTTGGTTTTAAAGAAAAACACTTTTTCATTGAATGTCATTAAGTTAGCAAACATTTTTGCTTCCTCATCATCACAAGCATGTTGAATGATACTGCTATCAAATGCACCAGAAATCTAAAAAGAGTGTAAAAAAGATTTAGAATATTAAGTAATTAATCTAGTTGTTAATCAAAACAAGAGGACAACATGCCTTCTGAGTGATCTGGTTTATAACTGTAACCAAAATTTGTAATGGAATTAATTGTTAACAAAAGTGAGGAATAAAGGTGTAAAAAAAAAATAAATATTTTTTCTCCGTTTTTCTACTCCCTCAGCCTAGAATCAAGTGATCAACAATTCAGGTGTTATTGGTAGGTTGATATTTCCCCCCTAATTTCTAAATAATCAATCACTCTACATTCAATAACAAGAGGGCCATGGGCCTTAATGATTACTTGAGTATCATGGAATCATAGTTTAAATCTTATAAATATGCTGACTATAATGAAATACAAAAGTAAAAGTGGGTGTTTAAAACAAATCGAAAGCATCTAAACTTTATTAAGATTAAAATGCCCCAGAAAACATTAGAAACAAGAGGCCCAGGGGCCACATCACTCACCTGAGGAACTGGCTAGGTAAAAGCAAATATTAGGTCAACATGAAACATGATGGCTTTGCTGTTTAGAAGTTGATATAGCCTTTATTTTCCTTTGTTAGGATCCACTTAAATGGCTCCTCTATTCTTCTGATTGGTCATGATTTGAACAAATTTTAAATCTACATTATTTTTTTGGGTGCTTTTCTATTGATGATCAATCATGGCTTTGTTGTTCTTGTGAAGAATTTTAACTATTTTTCCCATGTATTCCTAAGTAAAGACTTGATTACCCACTGTGGCCCCACTCTACCCCCAGGGGTCATGATTTGAACAAACTTGAATCTACACTACCAGAGGATGCTTCAATATAACTATGACCAATCATGGATTGTTCTTGAGAAGAAAAATTTACCTATGTATTCCTGCGGGAAAATTTGATACCCCATTGTGGCCACACCCAATCCGATGGAGTCATTTCATGATTTGAACAAACTTGAATCTACACTACCTGTGGATGCTTTCATATAATTATGACCAATCATCGCTTTGCTGTTCTTGAGAAGAAGATTTTAAAATATTTTTCCTATGTTAAACTTTGATCCTCATTGTGGCCCCACCCTAGCTACCTCCAGGAGTCATGATTTGAACAATCTTGAATCTACGCTACCAGAGGATCATAATTTGTACCTGAATCTACACTACCAGAGGATGCTTCCCCATGAGTTTCATCTTTCCTGGCTCAGTGGTTCTTGAGAAGATTTTTAAAGATTTTTCTTAATGTATTCCTATGTTATATTTTGATCCCCCATTGTAGCCCCACCCTACCCCCGGGGGTCATCATTTGAACAAATTTGAATCTCCACTACCTGAGAATGCTTCCACATTAGTTTTATCTTTCCTGGCCCAGTGGTTCTTGAGCAGATTTTTAAAAGATGCCATTTATTTTTCACTAATTCATAATTACCGGTATCTCCCCTTGGAGGAGGGCATGCCCCATCATTTGAATGCACTTAAATCCCCTTTCTCAAGGATTCTTTGTGGCAAGTTTGGTTGAAATTGGCTCAGTGGTTCTTTTGAAGGAGATGAAAATGTGAAAAGTTTATGCTGATGCCAACAAACGAGAAAACAACGACAGACAACAGAAATTTTGATCAGAAAAGCTCACGTGAGCCTTTGGCTCTGGTGAGCTAAAAATGTGAATAGTTTACAAACAGATTGACAGACAGAGAGACAGATGCCAGGTGATAAAGAAAGTTCACTGGAGCTTTCAGCTTAGGTGAGCTAACAATTACCGGTAGGATTTTTTTTTAAGCTGGGCCTTCCTCTCTAATATTGGAAAAAACCTTTCTTTTGTTAAGGAAAAAATATTTTTCTTAATATATAGACAATGTAAACTAGTATGAAGAACATTCTATACAGAACTATGCCATAATTATGGAGAAATTTCTTAAGAACAGTGTCACTATAATTAATTAAATCTTATCATAAAATCAGACTTACATCTAAGCCCCCAGAGGTCTTCTCCATCATTTTTCCTGAAAAAGTGAAAATAAAACAAAGTTATACACTGTACAAGCAATCATCATAAACATGTACAATATACATTATGCATTTTTATTAGACTAAGTTTAAACCAGAAGTCTCTGTCGAGACTGTAGCTCTACTGGTTTATACCTAAAACAAAGGAAGAGAAAAGTAGCAGTTGGGACTAGAGACTTTAAAACAGCGATAAGTAAAAAAAATGATCCTTGCCACTCATCAAAATAAAAACCTATGCACAGAATTATGTATCTTAGTATAGTCTACTTGTGTGCCAAGTTATATTGAAATCGGACCAAAAGTGTAGGAGGAGTAGCATTTTGAAAGAATTTCACAGAAATTTTTATTTTTAGTAACCATGGCAACACCGTTTATCAAAATCAAAAACCAATGCACAGAATTATGTATCTTAGTGTAGTCTACTTATGTGCCAAGTTATATTGAAATCGAACCAAAACTGTAGAAGGAGTAGCATTTTGAAAGAATTTCACAGAAATTTCGATTTTTAGTAACCATGGCAACACCATTCATCGAAATCAAAAACCGATGCACTATTTTATGTATCTTAGTGTAGTCTACTTGTGTACCAAGTTATATTGAAATCAGACCAAAATTGTAGGAGGAGTAGCATTTTGAAAGACTTTCACAGAAATTTCTATTTTTAGTAACCACGGCAACACCGTTCATCGAAATCAAAAACCAATGCACAGAATTATGTATCTTAGTGTAGGCTACTTGTGTGCCAAGTTATATTGAAATCGGACCAAAACTGTAGGAGGAGTAGCATTTTGAATAATTGTTTACAGACAGACAGACAGACGGACGGACGACGGACGCATTACTATCGCATAAGCTCTTCTGGTCTCTGACCAGTAGAGCTAAAAATCTAGCTAGACCCTAAAAAGGGCATGGTAATCCAAGAATCAAAAAGGGCACTTTATGCTGCAACAAGCTTTCATGATGGCATCTTTTAAAGTATTTGAAATTAAAAACATTTACATAATGTACATGTACTTTTATTATCATTTAAGGCCAACAATAAACAAGAGGCCCAGGGGCCACATCGCTCACCTGAGCATATTGGCTAGAAAAGGCACAAATCAGTTAAGTATTGAAAAGAAGGCTTGAATTTTAAACTGTTTGAGAATACTTCCAACTTCCATATCAATAACAATGGCTTTACTGTTCTTGAACAGAATTTTTTCCTGTATACAGTGAACCCTCGGATATCCGGACGCCAGATATCCGGATGCTTCAGTATCCGGACGATTTTTCATCGGAGCAAAATTCTTAAATGTTTTTTTGTCTTGTTTAACTGGTGATTCAGATATCCGGATGCTTCACATATCCGGACAAATTGACTGGGAACCAAAGCGTCCGGATAAATGAGGGTCCACTGTATTTCTTGGTAAAAATTTCATCCCCTTTGTGGCCCTTCCCTTACCCTGGAATCATGATTTGAACAAATGTGAATCTACACAACCTAATGATGCTTCCATATCAATATAACTAAACTATGGCCTTTTCATACTATAGAAGAGGATTTTTCTGTTGGATTCATATAAAACTACATACTCACAATGTCAAGGGTTTGTGATTTCTAGTTCGAGAAATCACAAACCCTTGACATTGTGCATGTTGTGAGGATGATAAAACTAGAAATATGTCCATAAGACATGAATGCCCTGCCAAGGTATATTAGTAAAGCAACATGAAAATTTGTATTAGTGTATAAAATTTGATCAGAATATCTTGAATAGTGATGCAGTTGATTGCTTACATTAGTATGCATCAGCTTATGACGTTTGACACTAATTTAAGAAAAGTGAGGTCAAGGTCAAGCAAAGGTTAAGGTCAAAACTGTTAATGCAGTTGCATATCTCTCATCAATATGTATCAGCATAATTATGAAGTTTAATAAAATTTTTATTAAACTTCATATGCTGATACATATTGAAATATCTAAAAATGATGTCTTTAATTAAAACTGACTTAAACACAATTTGATAAAAGTGAGGTCAAGGTCAAATAAAAGGTCAAGGTCAACATTGTTGATGCAGCTGAATTGCTTACATCAGTATGTATCAGCATATGAAGTTTAACACTGATTTAGGAAAAGTGAGGTCAAGGTCAAAGGGATACGTCAAGGTCAAAAATGTTGATGCAGTTGCATATCTCTAATCAATATGTATCAGCATATGAAGTTTGACACTGATACAGGAAAAGTGAGGTCAAGGTCAAAAATGTTGATGCAGTTGAATTGCTCTCATCGTTGTGTAACAGCATATGAAGTTTGATAACAAATATCTTGAATGGTATCTTTAAAACTGACAGAAACACCAATTAAAGATAATTGAGGTCAAGGTCAAAGGAAAGGTCAAGGTAAAAAAAAGTTGATGCAGTTGAATAGCTCTCATTAGTATGTATCAATATGTGAAGTTTGATAACACCATCTTGAATGGTATGTTTAAAACTGAACTAAACAGTGAAGCCAAGGACAAAGGAAAGGTCAAGGTAAAAAAAAGTTGATGCAGTTGCATAGCTCTCATCAATATCTATCAGCATATGAAGTTTGATGAAAATATCTTGGATAGTTTCTTTGAAACTTAGCTTTGAACAGAGCTAAATGAAAAGTGTGAGGGAAAGACAGACGGAAGGACAGAAGGATGGAAGGACGGAAGATGGACATGACAAACACTATATGCCCCAGCCATATTCATGGCGGGGCATAAAAAACTTTGATCGTTTATTGTGGCCCAGCTCTACCAGACCCACCACCCCCCTCATGATTTGAACAAACTTGTTTCTAAACTATCCGAGGACACTTCCATTAAATATATGACTAATCATAGCTTTGCTGTTTCCAAAAGAAAATTTTTAATGATTTTTTTTTATTTCCTATGTAAATCTTTGATTTAATGTTGTGGCCCGCCCTACACCCGTGGGTCATGATTTGAATAAACTTGCATGATTCTACACTACCTGAGGATGCTTAAGTTTTATTTTTCTTTTTTAAAAGATTTTCCGATTTTCCGTATCATGATATTCCTAGATGTAAAACTTTGATTTTCTTTTGTGGTTCCATCCTACCCTCAGGGGTCATGATATATGCTAAATTCACCATTTAATTAAAATTCCCATATAAAAAAGGCATTTCTTTTTATGCTAAATACACTGTAAACAACTATAATCCTGAAGAATTTTACCATTCACGCAGTGCTCCAAGTGGTAGAAATCTAGCAGGCTAGGAGAAATAGAAATCGGGAAAATAATATTTGCACTTTTCAGTTTCACTTTTTGATCAAACATTTTGGTGACTATGACAAACAAGATGGCGGCGACCAGGGAGAAAAATTCACATGATGCTAGAAATCGTCAATTTTACTCATTACCAAAAGAACATACAGTCCTGGAACCGATTGAAAATGACCCAAATTCCAAAGACCGTCTTTTAGATTATATTCGAAAGAATGTAATAGGGAAGGACAAAATTTTCAGTGGCCCGTTTGGATTGAGAAAAGGTATCTACGTTTTCACTTTTTGGTTTTAATATCATATTCTTCTTTGTCCATATTTCGTTAAAATGATTAAGTGTTGTCCTTTATAAGACTTATTTGGTTACTACTTTTGTCTCTGGTTTATATTTAAAGGTTTTGAACTCATCGTAAAATTAGCTAGACATTCAGTGCTGACCCCTTGTAAAACGTCATGCAGCCAGGATAATATTAGTCCGAAAAATCTGACGTTTACCTGGCTTTTTTACGATTTTGGTATTTTACACGAAATTAAATGATAATGAAATGATCTTTTTTTAAAATTTATAATATTTGATATCACTGATTAATACAACTCAAGGATTAATTTAACACAAAAAATTGATTAAAAAAATATTTTTTAAAAAACCGAATTAAATGCTAAATTAATATTTTATCAATAGTTCAATGCCTTTAGTACTCACCAACATTGTTTTTATGGGTTTTTTATGAAATAATATAATCTGATGAAAACATTTTATCTGACTGTCGATATTTGTTTTCATTTCGTGCATTTTTAAGCGGTTAGCTTCGCTAGCCGCTATATGGCATGTGTCGGCAACCGGAAACCTCCATAAGGCGCTACCTATCGACAACAGAAACTTCAACAAAGCCTCTACCAATGATTTGTTTCTAACACATATAACATATATTAAATAAAATCAAGACTATAAAACAACATAATCTTTCGGTTTTTAATTTTTATCTGATTTTGTTTGTCAATGAAATAAATTTATTGTTGTATTTTAAAATTTTATGTATAGGAGCATTTGGTGTCGAGATTAAATTTCCGTGACGTCAGCTGATGGCGATCGGACCCTGTGACGAAATTTGAAGTCAGCATGAAGTTTAGCTGATAACATTATCAAAGCGTTGGATTTAAACTTAAGGAAGAAATATATAGCGAGAAATATCATATTTGAGCCCAATGCTACACGAAAACCAGTAGGCATATCCGATTTATGTGTTAAATTGAACATAGTTAAATTGAACAGGGGGTCAAAATGGCGTTGCACACCTTGTGTATCTAAACTGTACATAGAGGGGTAGAATGTTTATATTTGGCTAATTTAGTGATTTTTTCATAAAAATTAAGGTGCCTGTGATTAATTAGGGTAAAAGGCACCCCTCATGAACAATAAATATTTGATCGAATTATGCTACTGGCTATGCAACGGGTTAATTACTGGCTTAAGGGGTTGAAGGTTATTACCGACTGCAAAACAGCGGAGAATCTCTCGATGAAGTTTCATTTTCCTTGCCAAAATATTTAGCCATCCCTTTAATTAACTTAAAAAATACTAGTAGGTGAAGAAAGCTTTATATATAAAAAAACTGAATACATCTGCAGGGTTCTCCATTATTTGAAATTTTACTGTTTTGCAGAGTTTATTTTAAGCACTAAAATTTCGCGCTATTTTCGAGATCAAATTCACAACTGAATTATTTTTCATTAAGCTATGAAAAGCAGGGGAAATTTGCCAGCGGGTATGTCAAACTTAGTAATTACCAATTTTGAAAGTAAATTTGTTGTACTTTTTTGTCAGTTTTTTTTTTTTTATCAAATTACCGAATTGCAAAAGAAGAAATAGGGAAACTTCATAAAAGGATGATATTCTTACGAGTTCCTGAAAAATGTGTCGCATCCATAAAATTTTAATCGTTACTGTGTCGTAGAAAATTTTGCTGTGTCGGGAGCAACACAGTAAAACAGCTTATGGAGAACCCTGCATCTGTAAGCTGTAAGCTGTACATAGATTACTTCCATAATGAAACGTTTGTTTTTCTTCTCCTTTTTTTCTCAATTGAAATTATTTTAAAGATGATGAAAGCTTTGTTTCCAGAGATAAATTCTGTACTCAGTCTAATCATTACACACGATTATAAGCGTCACATTATTTAAATATATAAATACTCAGTATATTTTTGTTTATATATATCGTGCTTATATGAATCTTTTTTGAATTATTGTCATGTACCATTTACTAATTCGAACATTTATTGTATTTAAAGTCAATAGTGTACATTTCTTAAAACTTTATTATCTTGTTTACTTGTCTTTCTTACTGTGAGAGAAATAGTTCATAATATTAATAAACAAATGCTAAATTCATATCTGTATCAAAATACAGAATGAATAGTGATCGGTCTCAAATGAAAAACGGATCATTGAAAGTTCCGGTGCCTAGGAGAAGTAAGCATCCCCAATAACAGATCACACCTGCTGACCTGCAGTGAGCATACGAAACTGAAGCCCTCTGAAATTAAATTAATTTACAAATTCTCTGCTTGTCCATCCGTTTTTCTCAGACTAGCCAGCTAAAGATCTATGTACAGAACTCCAAATAAATTAATCTTAAGAATTTGAATTATCATTACCGTCTTCCTTGGAAGACGGTATTGTATAGTTGATGTTTTTTTTTACAGTCGTCGGACTATGCACTTCCTCTCTTTTGTGATTGGTAGAAATTGCATGATTAGAAAATTTTCAATTATTTCTTTGGTTGAAACGCTGTTCAAGGCAAGGAAGATAACTTTCTGATATATTTTTCGTACAATTCCAATCTTAAAAAAATGGCAAAACGAACAACAAAATCAGCAGTAATTAATTCTTAATAACATAGCGTTTTTACTGTTTTATAGTGATAAAATTGTATTATAGCGATAAATAAAAAGGTCTCTTTAATTTCATTTTAAATAAAATTTGATAGTTATTGCTTGCAGGCTTTACAATTTGTTATTATTCTTTTCCCCTTTCTTGTTTGAAGAGTGAATGGGAATCAGCCGAGGTTTGCCGAAAGCTCTCGGCCAGTCAACGTTTATGAAATATATGAAAAAGCGACAACCGTGGTAGGGCTAATGAAGCTTAAAAAGCTTATTTAGAAATACAAAATCAAGAAATTCAAAAGAAGTATAGATCTGTTTACTATATATAAAATTGTTGCTAAAGACAGTAATCTTTTTTGAAAAGCTCTACTTGTTTTAGTTTCTTTTTGAGTAGGCTTTACAGTTACCTAATTTCAGAGTCATAGAGCATGAAAGACAATTAAATTTGCAACATCAACATATTTGTTTTTTCGTTCTGAGCACATTTGGACGCCACCAATGTTTATGAAATAATATAAGGAAAACATTTTATCTGACTGTTGATATTTGTTTTCAAACTGAAAATCTCAGGTTGATATTTTGAAACATACATTTGTGACATCAGAATGTGGATGTAATTGGTTTTTCCATTTAGTTAAGTTGTACAAAAGTCAGTGTGTCTGCTTCTTCGCTGATATATAGACAAAAATATGCATGCTTACTTTAATATCATCACTGAATGCATTTTTTGTTAGTCTACACTGTAGTCAAATTCCATGAAAGCATGCTAACCGCTTTTCAGTACTTTCAGTACTTTGATAATATATCTAATGTAGTAATGATCCGGATTTTTTGTGGAGATGGTAATTTCTTGTATTTCATGTACTAAAAATACCCATGCCAAGAAAATATATACACCTTCCATGTAAGATGTTATTTAGGCCAATAAAAATATTCCTAGATTCTCATCCCCGCCCACCCCGATTTTATACCCCCGCCTCGATTTTTTTAATTTCTGTTTTTCTTCGTCTTAATTGAGTCACTATTAATTCTGATCGGGATCGATATTCATCTACCATTCTACTTTTGTTTTAAATCCCGAAAAGTCGACATGATTTTGACAGCTGAAAAGATGGTAATTGTTGTAATACATGTGTATATATTTTAAACAAGAATCATTGGTTGAAAAAGATTGGTGATGATGTGAAGTAAGAGATAATTGAACCTTTACTATGACTTTTATTCGGGTATTGTAGATAAAATTACACCGATTGACCAGGTCAATATAAAATCTGCAAAATTGAAAAAATATATAATAAAAGCCGCCTGCCCGCCTTGATTTTTAAAAAAATTCGGATGAGAATCTAGCAATTTATTTATTATGGCCTTATATATTGATTTGTACTTTGTTAGATATATTACTTTTTCTGCCAAAGATTAGATAGAACATTCTATAGTTTAAATGATTATGTCCTATAGACCCAGTATAAGGATAGAATTTGTTCTGTGTATTTGCAATGAAGCAAAATACTGTATGTGTACATAATTTGGCATACTGTAAATCACTATTTATTCGCGAGAACTTTATTTTCGCGTAATTGAAGCGAAAATAACTCGCGTATAATAGTATTCCTTAAGAATATATAAAGCAATAACCTCAACTCGCGCAAATTTTGTCTCGCTAATCAAGAGTCAACGCCTATCTCGCGAAAATAAGGTGTCGCGAAAATTTAGTGATCTACAGTATTCAAAATTTAGCGCAATCAATGGATATGGAGTTGTTGGCATAATCATGAATTAGCGCTACACATGTAAGTGCCATATATTTTATTATTGAATGATGTTTTAGCAGTATTCCTGAGTTAGTGCATCATCATCTGCGCCAAAGCTGCTAAAATATGAAGCTTGCTATTTTAAGTACACATACAGTGAACACCAGCGATAATTCAAACTCAGTGCATTTACTATGAATATTCCACAGAGATCTGAATGTAAACATGGCTGGTAAATTTAAAATCGAGGAAAAAACACTGAAAAAAAAATTAGTTGAATTTTTATGGATTATTTTTTTGGATAAAAGGCATATACAATCTCAAAAAGGTTTGTTTATATTAATGTGGTAGTTAATTTCAGCGCAACCCCTT